AAAAAACCAAGACAACTTTAAACTAAACAACTCTAAACTAATAACTCTAAATGAAACAACTTTTAAATTAAAATAAAATATCACTAATTAAAAACCAAAAGTAACTCTAAACGAAATAAAAACTCTCAAATGGCTAAAACCGTTAAACTCAAACCAAACTTAACTTTAAACAAAACTCTCAACTCAAACAAACTCAAAATTCAAACTTAACTTTCACTGAAACAAATTTGGGGATTGTTTGTTTGTTACAGGTCATGTTGTACATAGTAGAGATGGATCAGATCTTATGCAACCTTAGATTAAAACAGTTATACTATAAGCTTTGAATATCCATTGTGAATAAAGTGAACTTAAATAAAGAAAATTCAGGCATAAACTACCGTCTCCTAATTTCTATGTATTTGTTAGAATGATTCCATTTTATACTTTCAATTACTATGTTGTATTCAAGTGATTGTTTTTTATATAGCCTTTTAATTTACGGAATACACCAGTTTAGCATTCGATGCATACCGCTGTTCAAGACGACAGACTCATTTGCACATTCAAAGCCTCGTTTATGAGTCTGCACAGATGTCATTAAAAGTCTATGGGATTTTAAAACTGGTATTGTTTTGGCTGCACATGCTGGAACCATAAATGAGAAAGACTGTTTCTTAGAGTGCATACAAAATCTCCGAAAAAAACTTCCGTCGTAACGAACTGCACGAATTTGCACGAATTAGTGAGTTAGGTAGGCCTCAGTATAGACCGTAGACCTACAAAACTTTGCACTAATTTGTACAATTTTGTTAGTGAACTTCTTAACGGATATATGTTATGTATTCTACCAGACTTTTTCTTTTTACGTAATCCTCATGTTCCAGTGAAGGTCCATGGAATTTCTAAGCGTTTGTATTGTTCAAGTTGTGCATTCTTTACTTTAGAAATATTTAGACACTGATACGAGGCTAAGCCTGAGTAAGTGAGCCTGTAATCAAGGAACACAGCGGTAACTCGAAAAATGTCTTTTCGCCACTTTTCCATACGTTGGGTTACTGCGCAAACACACAGCACTCAACCGAGGGTACACAAGGTTCAAATTTGAATAATCATTTGAAACTTCTTTGCAGCTTCTATTTAATGCTTGGTGTGTGACCTTTGAACCGATGTATAGAAGGTGGTGATTTCCTTATTTCAATCGACGTACTTATTGTTTATCAATACTCAAAGCACACGCACTGCGCATGCGCTAAAGCTTAGCAAAATAAAACAAGCACGCCGTTTCACGGCCGGCATGTTGTGGGGCCAGAATAAAATTATTCTCGTGTAGTAGTAGAGAATTTATTGAACAGCAAGGGCCCGCGGGGAAAACCCTACTTCCTTGGTCTTAAATACCAAAAATTTAAAAAGTATTTTTTTCTGATTTCCTTTCCATCTTTTATCAAAATGGGCTCCCTGTGTATTTTTTCAGCCCAGCAAGATGGCTGCCGTGAAACCACTATAGCTGTGCAGTAAAATAACGGGATTTATATGAAAACAATGGTTCGCGTGAGGATCAAACACGACCTTCGCTGAGATTATGAAAACACGCTGCCTTCTGCGCTAACAAGCTCTAAAACCGGCTCCATCCACGCCAAAWTTTTTTTAGTGAAATTGGGGTTTTCTAGCTTCTATAACATGCGAGAGTTTAATTTAACTATGTTGTGCAACGAAGAACAGTTATAAGCAGTTTTCAAATTACCACTTTTTTTACTGCTATCCGCTGATCGAGACGACAGTCGCAACAGGGAAATGTTGTACACATTCTCGTACCCAAAACCTTCTCATCTTTCTAACTGCGAAAAATGGAGAGAAGGGTCTGGATACAAGAATGAGCCGTGCAGTGCTCACAGAGCTGAACCAAATAWAGTATTCAAAGAGCCTCTTACGCAAGAGTTAAGTCGAGAATAAAAAGCACTGCAAAAGAACGGAATGAACTAACAATGCACTATGGTTCGACTAGCTTGTGAAGTATGCAAGCTAAGCCGATCAGTAGTAGTTTGACAAAGGACTAACATTCAATATCTAAGTTAAGAATATTTTCTTGTAATGACAYGGTGTTTAAGTTTTTATATAAAGCCCCGTTCAAGGATTATCCAGATATTTTTGAAAACGGATTTCCTTTATCCTGTTTTCAAAAAATTCTCGTCGCTTTCGCCCGCCCACACGTATCCGTGTTTGATGCGACGCGACGTTCGCGTTTAGTTCAAGTGGCGTTTTCACCGGATACGTGTGGAGGGAAGGCCAATCCACAAAGGGAAATCCGTATTCAAAGATATCCCAATACTAACATACGTTTGAAGCATTTAGGACTCGCTATGATTCCTCTTGTTGTCTAGGCGACTCAAGGCTTGGCATAGAGACCCGCTTTTCCTCTGCGGACCCATCTACACAACACAATCCCAGAAAAGGCTTTAGCAAAGAACTTACTCATAGTTCCATAGCACAGGGGATGCAACACGCTCTGTAGACAGGTATTCAGAAAAACATACTTTCTGGTAATGTGAAAATACCTCCAGTTCTTGTAGGTTACTACGTCAAAGTACTCCAGAAGAAACAGCACTTGGTAGGGAAAATAACAAACAACGAATACCAAAATGATCGCATAGATCATTCTCAACAGATCCCTCTCTAGTTTTATCTGGAGTTTTTTGTTCCGTTCGCTTTGAGTGAGGCTGTCCGGGCTTAGAGTTCGTGACCAGCTCATTTCTTTYTCTTCCCCTTGAGTTGAAGAGCCAGATTTCGATTCTTTAAGACAATAGCCTTCGTCAGTTGTGACTTCGATGGATGGCAGCCCTCTGTTTCTCAAACGTTTCTTAGCCATGTGGCATTTGAGCTTGATTCCCATGGCACCATATGCGAGGACCATTATCAGTATTGGGACCAGGAAGTTGATGACAAAACGGACCATGAGGTACCTCCTGTAGACTGGGGACGGGAACGTGTTTAAGGTGTCTCCTGGAAACAGCACGACACACCAAGAATGAATTCCATCGTAGGGATTTTTCACCACGGTAGAGTACAGGAATGACGGGAAGGAGATGATGACGGCTGAAGCCCACAGACTTCCAATACCGAACTGGTATCTCAATTCATTCATGCCTCGCAACCGTCTGTTCTTTAACATGCGAAACCGATGCAGAGAAATGAAAGCAAGAGACCATGTGATGACCAGACAAGAGGAAATCTGTATGGGACTCGCAAGATGGCACAAAAGACTCTCAAAAGGCCATGAGTACACTTCGTCGTAAATGAAAATCAGCGGCAGAAATATCACTCCCAGCAGTTCCGCCACCGCCACGTTTGTCACCAGCTTGTAGGCTAGAGGTCTTCGCACTCTAATCGATAAAATAGAATGTATAACAATTGAGTTCCCAATAACTGCGGCCAAACTAAAAACCGTGAAGCAGAACCAACGAAAGTATTTTGATCCCTCAGGCTCGACGTACTGTTTGATTGCGCCTGTGACGACATAAAGGACGCTGGAATTCTTGGTTGAGTTTGTGATGTTGAACATCTTTGTCACTTGGATTCTAGAACTTTCCCAAGGTGATATCGTTCATATACCAGCACTAGAAGCAATATTACGCTTAGCGGCTTTAAAGAATGAAAAAAATACAGAAATAATTAGTTTACGTCAGCGCACAAAACAGTGGGGATTGATTGCTCATCTGCACAGGCCCTTGAGTTGAAGCTCATGTCAACTGAAAGCCGTCACGTCAAATAGAATTGGAATTCAAAATTTTTTTCTCGCGATGGTTAAGGATAAAGATGTAATTGATTGTGAAGTTTGTGAACAGGAAGTTCTAGGGAATCGATTTAGTTTGGGGTTTTAAAGAAGCAAAAATAATTCAAGAAAAGATGTTTTAAAATGCGGACAGCTTTGACCCGGAGTGATATCAAAGACATTTCTAGCTAATGCAAAATAAAAACCAAAATAATAATAATAATAATAAGGACATAACAACCTAATCAAAGAAACCCAAGAAACAGGAAAAAACATAGGGGGAAAATTATTCGAGATATGATGTTGCAATCTCGTTTCAAGTCGTAAAAGGCTTCTGTTAAATGTTTGAGATACTGCGCATTCTGTGATTGGTCGAATAATACAAACATTCGATATTAGAGAGGAAGTCGACGTCATTACGCAAAATCAGAAGCATGAAAGCAACATATTAATGTATCGTTTTAACTCTAGAAAAATCTAGGTAGCAACATAAAACAGAACCATGGAAAATGTGATATAAACAGGATGAGAATTATAAAGGATACAGAAGTGAGTACGAGAAAGTTCGAATCCTTTAACTTCATTATTTTGTTATCGCTTTGTCTGAGTTCGATATCATGATTCAGCTAAGCGGCATGTCAAAAACGAGGAAACATTTGTTTTTAAACTAAATAAAATAAATAAAAATCAACAGTTTCTTTCGGTTGAATAATCTTGATTATCAGTTTTTATTTGTGGCTTTTAAACATTTTGTAATTCCAAAGAAACTCTGTCAAAATATTTTCCAATTCATAAGAGCTGGAAAACTTATATTACCTCTATTAACTATGYTTTTACTGACAGTCAAAATTGTTGCCGTATTGTTGCTATTTGGTTGACACTTAGTATGGAAATACTGTTCTTTCATCTTTGATAATTCGTATATTGTTAAGTCAGCCCAACCAAAAAAGTATTACATTAAAAGAGTACTGTTTAAAACGTGCAGTGTTGATTACTGGTAAGGACTACCCGTGACTTGGTGCATGGGTTTGTTAGACTAAAAAGACCATTATTTTGTATTCGTAATATGTCTCTGTGTTTCTCAATTATAGGGGGGGAGATTATAGGGGGGTGCTATGAAAAATCGCATCTTACTATACAAGATGATATCCATACGTACGTAATGTAGCTGGAGTGGTAAAGCTAAATCGATTTTCGATAATTAGGATACAGTTTTGTATGGCAACATAATTTCGACAAAAAGAAAGAAAAAACGATCGTTAAACAAATAAACAAAGACTAGAGGACATTGAAATACAATATGGTTTGGAGATATTCATAATGATGAGAATAGGAAAGACTTTCAAAATAACAAACTCAGGACATACAATTTTCCTACAAGAAAGTTATCTTAAAGAGGTCAGCAACATGAAACATAGAATAGCAAGTGTGACAAAACTCAGAATCAATTGAAAGGGGGGACATTTACGACCTTATGTCAAATGAGAAGAAAGGATATGTCATTTATGTGAACAAGAAGTTGAAGATGAAAAAACTTTAGTTTTGAAATGTCCCTCCTACTCAAACTAACGAAATGCGTGAACTAGAACAAAAAATTAACACAATTACAAACAAAAAATTTGAACTCTTACATAAGTGAACACGATAAAGTTCCATTTTCTTATCAACCCGTATAAAAATATCCAAGAAAATTGTAGCAAGATACATATACGAATGGTCAAGACTGATAGAAAGGCAATGCTGCCACAGACAAATAGCTAGAAAGCTTAAATTACGACAAGCCATCTAAAATACATCGATGTATTTTGCTAATTTAGAAATTGAAATATATTTTTTCTGTTTATTTGGAAAAAACACTTATATACCTTTAGTATACGGTGCCAAATAAATTGTTGTTGTTGTTGTTGTTGTTGTTGTTGTTGTTGTTGTTATGTATACATTTGCGTTTATCCCGGTCTAAAAAATGTTCCTGTCCATTTAGCGTTTTGGACTCGGTTTTCTTCCCGTCCACACGAATATCAATTATACGATCAATATACTGACGCTGGAACAACCAGAAAACGGAGACAGATCATGCGTAAATTAGAGTAATATGAGAACGTACAAGGAACAGATGGGTGTGAATTTTCTTTTGGTGACAAAGTGTCCAATACAGTGCGTCAGTGGCGTTTTTGAAAATTTCCTTTATCATCCGTCCAGACGCGACAACATGAAAACGGCGTTTTTAAACATTTCCACTCTGGGAAGCGTCAAAAAGTTGGGTTTTCAAATGGGGTATTTACTTGATCACACTTGTGCCGCGGGACGGAAGGCCCATAATTCCGTTTTCAGAAATATCTTTGTATTATTAGTATCATTCACAGGTAGCCCAAGCTAGGTTTCTGTAGTATCATGTTATTCTCTACCTTCACATCCCCATAATGCCTTCCGTCTTTTGGAGGTAACCAATCAAAAAACTGTCCCAAATTGAAAGATTTCTTAATTGAATTTGTACTGTACCTGCTTTTATCTGTACAATACTGATTATCAGTTTATTCCGAGTTATTTTGCGTGTACAGATCATCAAGAGTTTTGGTCTTACAGAAAATGTATTGACTTACGAAAAAATGTTTAAAATTTACTTTAAACGTATTCAAGCTTCTATCTTTTTCTGTTTTTTTACTTCTTCATTTTATTTTTGGATACCAAACAAGGTATTGTCAACATTGTCTGATCAGCCTTCAGCAAAATAAGTGGGTTTTTACCCTCTGGTTACCCCCCAAAGACGCAAAGTATTATGGAGACGTGAAAGTAGAGAATAAGTAAATCAGTGTGTGGTGTTACTTAAAAACCTCAGTAAAAATCGTCAAACTGTGATATAAAGTCAAGAAACCCTTGCTGACCAAATCTAAGTACAAAGGACAAAAGAGGTACTACTTTACAAAGGTCAGCTAAGATTTCTTTACTTTATTYTTTGTAGTGAAAAAGTAAGCATATAAACTTCTAAATTTCTGTTWTTCCGTTAACAAAATCTAGTTTATACAAGTAAATGGTCTTCAAATCATTGTACTAAATMTTCTCTCAGGCCCCGTCCACACCATGCCGGATAAATTTGAATTCGCAGCTTTCACACCGAAACCGAAAAAAAAAAAAGTTTTCCGTCCACACATGAAAACGGATAAAATGTTTCGCGTCCACACTAGTCCGATCAGAGGCGGCAAAAACGCTTCATTGCACATCTGAAGCTGAAATTGAGCCCGCGGTGAATTTTTAGCCTTCCCGCCATGTTCCCATGACAATCATGACGTCATCGTATTCGAAAAATTTCGGATACGAAATGTTCTCCGTCCACACTAATACGGCTAGCTGGCGTTTTCAAATTGTTCCATTCTGGAGACCGTATTCGAAAAAATTCGTTTTCGGTGAAGTGATTGTTCCGGATTYCCCCGGAATAGTGTGTGCGGTAGGCCTAACCGAATAAATAAAAATTMGGATTCAAATTTATCCGGCATAGTGTAGACGAAGGCCTCAGACAAGATAGTAAATTATGATAGCAAATCCAGTTGTCTTCAAACCGCAAGAAAAACCTGTTMACCTTGCACCCATTCTTTTGTTCAGTAACTTTAGCACCAATTGTCTTACTATTCTCATGAGAGAACAAATTTAAATAAGAAAGAAAATTCGCAAAGCATCTTGGTCGACGCTATCAGGCAAACGTCCTATTGGCCCAAGTTGTATTGATTTGTGTTCATCCTGCTGTTGTGATTGGCTAACTTTGTAACACTGAGTGCCTCGGTTTGGAGTGTATCATGAGTGGATAGTGAAATCAGGAAGAAACAGTGGGTCGAAAATACGTATCAGTTAAAGAAAAATGTATATCGGAAATAATCCTAGCTATATATAGCAAAGAAAGGACTAAGATTAGATTCTTATATTGAAATGTGGATTTTACATATACACTTGATTGCAGAAACGTTGTAGTATACATTTATACAAATGCCTAATGAGATGCATAATGCAAAAAAAACATTTTCAACGCTTAAAACCAACTGATTTATAATCTGTACGATCTAATAGACAAGAAAAAAATATTTTGGCAGTCATTGAATGAAAGAAACAATAAATAAAGCGATTTTTTTGTTTTGTATATCATTAAGTATACTGAATCAGATATGTGTATGAATGTATACTACAACGTTTTGGCAATCGAGTGTATAATCAAAAGGTTAAAATAAATATATCATGATTTGACGCTAATGATTTGGACAGTTAGTTAACTGATGGTCCCATYCATTTAATGTTTTTTTAAACTTACTCGTAATGAAATGGATTGTTCTCAAGCGAATGAAAACAGACCTGATAAACCTTTTTACCTTAGCTGCAATTTTTCCATTTCAGACCACGTGTCAATCCCTACAGTATCATTTGTTTAATCGTTTAACTGTATTGTGCATGAGAAGACACACGAATATGGATACTGTACAACTCAAACAAAGATTCTTATTCTTGACTCTTAGGAATGACACTTGGTCTGAAATGGATAAACATTACGCCCAAGCTAAAAATAAGCGACGCCCAATCTGAAATATTTCTTAGAAAGACTATTTTGAGTTCAAACTTATCATGATAGACATGCTGACTGGTGCCAAGACATTGATCGGATTGCTAGTCCTAATCGCCTGTAGATTCGGTATTTGAAGCTCTACTAAATCAATAGAATATTACCGNATGCTGACTGGTGCCAAGACATTGATCGGATTGCTAGTCCTAATCGCCTGTAGATTCGGTATTTGAAGCTCTACTAAATCAATAGAATATTACCGAGAAGATTGAAGTACTTACAAGCTCTACATAAAATGAATAGTTAAGTAAAATATTTCTTAATTTGAGTGGTGCATCTTTATGTCTATACTTCCAATTTGTTCACTTGATGGAGATGCCTTTTAAAAAAAGCTTCATTACGTATACAAAATTGAACTGGTTCATACCCTGGTCCCAGAGGCTCGACGATTTTTCTCCCGGCCACGTATATTTTGAGCCAAAGTCTCGCCGGTCTCGCTGCTTCGCGGCTCAAAATATAAGTGGAGAAAAATCGTCGAGCCTCTGGGACCAGGGTAACTGGTTCAGGAAAACAGTCAGTATTTCAACTGCACCATTATTTCACTCATGGTTTACACGAAAGTTATCTTGGAATTGTTTACAATAAATGACCAGCATTTTGTATCCGCACTAGTTTCAACAAATAAACTCAAATGTCCTAAATGACGTTACAGTCATTAACGTATTGGAAGAACTACGATCAATGAATGTTCAGTTTACCAGTCTACTATTCACTATCATGTAGAATCAGTACTAATCCTGGTACTAATAGAATTCAATTGAGGCTTATGTTAAATTTAAGTAAAAATAGCACTTCTGGAGTAAGTTTGCCTTCCGCGGTAAAAGTAAACCGCCCTCTCTTGTATTATAATTAACTGTTTGCACTGACATGAAACTACAAATTACCGGATCAAATCAGTAATTATTGACTAAGCTATCAATATAACTCAAGCAGGGGCGTATCCAGGGGCGGGATGACAGGGTGCCCGTGACCTCCCCTTTCAAAGCCAAAAAAATCCAACCGGCCGTTGATGCAGTGTGTGAAGATTTGTTTAGACTTAACTTAAGCAGTTAAGAAAATCAGTTTCCTCGCTTCTCGGAGACGTCTTTTCGTTTCGTTTCAAATAAAAATCGTTTAAAATTGAAACTATCCATTGGGCTTCCTGATCAAGACATTCCATATATGGCGAGACATTCTTTTAAAACAGTAAAAAGGTAACTTGGTGTGTGTTGGTAACTAATGAACATATCTTTTATTGTTTCGTTCTACAGAACGCTTTTTGTTTCAATCATAGCCGCGTACGTTGTTCTGTTCTCCTCTATCGACCATGTGATTCTTTTCGTCAAAACAATAGATTGCTATGACGTCATATTGACGTCATATTGACGTCATATGACGTCATAGTGACAATTTGGTATGTAAGTCCCCCCCCCCCAGTTACAAATCCTGGGTACGCCCCCTGTCAAGGGTTACATTTCATGTTGTTAATTACCAAAGATATTGTCAGCTGTTTTGCTAAAAACTAAGAACAAATGAAAAAGCCGAATTCACCATGTACTTTTGAGAAGTTAATATTGGCATAGCAGGGTCAGTGCAACTGAATGATGAATTGCCCTTAAATATACAAGACGGTTATATTCAGTAGAATCAGTAAACCTTTCATTTTGATTGATTTAATATGCACTTGTTTTTAAAATGTGGGAGGAAAGCCGGAAAACTTTGTCCAAACATCTGCCAATGAACAATATTTGGAGTCATTTTCATCACATGAATAAGTTATGGGTATAATGTATTCAACTATCCATATCACCGTGCCCATATACTTATTTATCTTACTTTTATTTCATTCAAAGTTTTATTTCATTACGAAAGTCGGTTGCCTTGCAAAGATGGATGCAAGGTTTCGGTGCTCTTTAMGGAAGAGATTGTAATGTCGAGAAAATACGTTGCCGTGATACGAAAATCTAGTGATGGTTCAGTCAATTAATTTGGATTTCTCGCGGATAATTCCTGTTTCACTGTTGTGATATCTTGTCGCCATGTTGTGCACGAAAATAAAACAAACCTTACGTCTACTATTTCCTGGATAATTCTGGAAATCAGATTTCATCTCTTCAAAAACTCCAAACCTTTTTCTATCTCGGTAGCGGGTCAAATGAAAGACATTYGTCTTAACCATTTAAGAAGAAAGGAAACGATAAGTCATTAGTCCTTGCTTTCATGAGTTTTAGAGACCCATTCCGCCGCACATCCATCCATTCTTTAATAAAAGAGTGCGTCGCACATCATCGATTTTTTGATCGAACAAATCTAGCTCGGGTTACCTGTGAT